AAGACATGTCTGGATTGATCAAGTTCAAACTTCACACACACATGGTACATCATGTCACAAATAGATATGTGCATTTGTTTCATGATCTGCTTAACAATAGCGGAATGATGGCCATTTTAAGGCCGAAAATGCATCAAAATCACGTATTTTCACAATTCCAGAACCGGATCTCAGTCATGCATGGATGGATTTTGTTCAGATTTAGCACAATGTGTTGTACATATGCAGGTGCATTTCGGTCATGATCTGCTTTGAATGTATATGTCACTCAAATATGAACGGAACGGGGACGTGTCATTGACAATGACTTGTTGTTTTAAAGATGTGCTAGACGAGGCTGACACTTGTAAACAATACAACGTGAATAAGCATCGTGGGCAGGATTTCAAGGATCGCGGGCGAAACAAAAGCGACGCGGCTGTTTGTCTAAGCGACGCGGGCCCGCAGTGCTTGAAAGGCCTGGGGAGAACACTGGAAATGAGACGAGTGAACAATTGTAATTGTCATGGCAACAACCAAATAAAACTCCCATGGTTGTGATATGGCAAGAACATTGTAGGAACACTATTAACCATGGAAAATGGTTAATATCTCATAGTCCAGAACCTTATCAACTTTGTTTTGAGGAAGATACTCTACAAAGACAGCAGAGGTCACTTGTTAACATGCTGCACCCCCCCCCCCCCCAAAACGCATTTAATTATCTATCTGCATCTTTCAGTTTATAAGTGACAGTCACTAAAACTGAATGTTATTGACAGTGACTTGTTTGAGTGGATTAGGAATATAAAGTCATGACTTGTGTAATTTGCAGGAAGAGGTAGAGAAAATGGGTCAGTATCAGAAAGGAATGAACGGAATCGTCAAAATGGTGAATATAGTGGACGTGGACGGGGTTCAAGAGATCGTGAAGATAGGTGGAACAGAGATGACAGGCCAGGAGGTAGATATGGTAAGGGGTGTATTCCGCATTCATTCTTTATTTCATCAGTCACAAAGTTTATAAGAATTTTGACCTGTTCATACTGATATGCATTTCCAGTAAACTTCAGCTGGTTCACAGTGATGAGTACTGTAAAATACTTTATTTCAGCTGGAATTAATTTTTGCTGAAAAGACTTTTTGGGTGTTTTGTATAGAATTTGATTGTAAAATATAGGGAAAAAGGTATATGTTCGCTGGATTTTATTTTCACTGTATCGTTCCTTTAACGAAAATTATATCCAAGCTAAAATAAAGTATTTTACAGTGTTTTTTGAAATTTCAAATGGTTTAGTCAAAATGGCATAGAATGTCGTGCAAGTTGGTTAAAACTATACTGTGAGATTGGCCAAAATCAACAATGCAAGCACAGTCACTCTACTAGAACGGTTAGGAAGCGCCGCGTCGTTCCATTGTAACTACCCTTGGATCGATAAACATTGAAACAAAAGCGGTATTAACGAGCTAAGAAGTCATTAGCATAAAATGGGCGACAGTGCGAGAGTTGCGTCATTTTTTCCCACAAAGCATTGCAATACATGGCACTTTACCCTTTCACCAAAGAGCAGTCTCAAACGCGGAAATAAACATGCTTTGTATATACATATTTTTCCCCGGGAAAATCTTGCTGTCTTGTATGGCATTCTGAAATTATCAATAGTTAATACTACATTAGTATATCACCCAAACAAATCCCACACAAAAATTAACATCCGGGTATTTTACCCTGTCTCGCCCCTGTCTCGACTGAATCAAAAAGCAGTGCGAACATGCTGAAATAAATCGTTCATAAAATTGTCACAAAGCAAAATCATAACAAACAAATATTCAAACGAAACTAAATATGACTCGTAGCACCGATACAGCTGGACGGGATTTGTATCAGTCGTCAAATAAAGCGAATGGAGGGATATGAAAACACAACAATCAAAAATTTCTTTCGTCCGATTACTTCCATTGAAAACCATGCAATAAAGCAACATGGCGACCACCTCCATTGACGACGAAAACATGCAAAATTTCGCCATAAAGTGACTATAAAAACACACAAAAATTACGAGAATGGGCAAAGAGATATTGTGAAGGTTTGCAGACATCAATGTTTTTAGCGATAAAATTGCTTTTAAACTGAGCGAGGGGTTTATTTTACGGACCGAAAGACTGTTAGAGATCGAGACAAAGAGACTGTCAATAAAACACCGTTTTTCTCGAGTAAAGCATCTTCACGATTGCAAAAGAACGGTCATCTGTAAAATAAAATATCACTCTTAGTCATAGTTCAGTTGAGATTGTAGTTTGATGTAAAAATAAAGCACAATTGCAAAAATTCACGGTCGTCTCGAGCAACATGAACGCAATGAAAAATAGCGCCCTCTGATGACAATTACGTCATAGTTTTGAGACCAGCGTAGGTTCTCAGAAGCTGCTCGTTCACACCTTTTAACAATAGCGCTTCCTAACCGTCCTAGTGGAGTGACTGTGATGCAAGTTTAATCTCTAAGCATACATGTTCTAAGGATTAACTTCAGAAGACAATAGTTGCATTCAGACACAGTCCTTTAGCACAGACTATGAGGTCAAAACTGTTAAGTCTGACCTGTTTATAACTGACCTGACCTGACCTGACCTGACCTGACCTGGCTAAGCACCTAGAACATAATTGCATTTGATGTCCATTTCAACCATTTACTGTCGTATTCATAAATACTCTTGCCTAGCACATCTCGGGACATTGTTCTCTAGAGAAAAAAAACGAGACTCTGTACTGCCTGATTTGCATTGTTATTGTTTTATAACCATAGAACATGTATGCCTTCCCTGATAAATATAATCGTAATACAGTAAAACCTGTCAAAACCGACCATGACTGGAACTGGGATCTATGGTCTGTTTTCAGAGGGAGTCTGTTTATTCAGGGTGGGTGTGACTTTTATTGAAACAGTTACATGTTGTAAACACGGGACAAATGAAAGACACCGGAGTTTGCCTCCGGTGATTATATTTACATTTATTGTATTGTTTCAATAAAATAATTTACCAAACAAGAAAAGAATATTATGGTATGTGCATGAAATCAATAAACATTAAAATAACTGTTCGAACAGACTGGGTAAGTATCGCGTATCGTAACTGAAGGTGTCCATTTTGAATGACAACACAATGTAAGTTCATGTGAGCTACATGTAATTATCATAATTTATCAAAACAGTCGATTTTGCTGTTAAGTTAATGAATCAAATTCTGTAATCTCAACATGTCTAGCACATCGCCATGCATCAAGTGCCATCGTGGGGGTTGATAATTTGACTGTCGTTGCAATTCATGTCATCGTTGTCTGTAGATTCATCGTTTTCTTTGTCTGCAATAAAATTCTCAACAATCTGTTACTTCCACTCGCCGTCATACGTTGCTTCAGTCTGTATACGTTCATCAAAGTGGAGGTATTCATCAACGCTAAATTGTGTTTGCAGGTTAGGTCAGTTACAACAGGACCAAAGATTTGTATATCTTTAAAGGCCAACATTTAGGTCCCATGGGATGGGGGGAGCTTAGTATTCTAACTTGACTCATTATTCAACGACAGCAACTGCCCATCGTTCATTTAAATGCAGATAGTCGACGTCTGCGCTAATCTTTTGTTTATGTGTATAGTTTCTGATCTGAGCTGTGTAAAGTAAAATAAAAAAATCATTTCTGGTGACAAGGCAGCTTTTTGGAATTTGAATTCAAGTCAGTTATATGCACAGTTCATTCTAAAGTGACATGGTCTATGCTGCAATGTTCAATAAATATATTTACAGACATAAATGGCATTGAGTAAAACTCTGGTCTGTCTTCTCAGACCCAGATGAAACGAAATTCATTTGTTCATAGATTTGACCTGTTATCCGCCATGACCCCCACAGGCAACAGCGGCTTGGATCGATCACTGGGCCGCAATTTTTTTTTTTGTATGGGAAATGGTTAGTTTCATGTCACATAATCATGTGTTGGTACCATTGTCAGTGATCATGTTTTTTGTGTTTTTTACCTTGCCCGTACCATCAAAGATGGAAGGGAAAGGTATATTAAGGGAAAATTTTTGTCCGGAGTTGTCGTCGTCATCGTCGTTAATGTTTATTACAGAGTATTGCATACTAACCCCTTTGGTTAATGAAATTTTAATTTCATAAACAAATGGGATAATTGCCAATTATCATATAATACTGGTTAAATAAAATCGAAATAACAGTGGATAGCTCCCGTAGGGGGCGTCCTTCCCCTGTCATCTGATTTGCATACTTCCATTTTTAACCACGAGATTGATTCACGGTTGAAATTTGGGCTTGCCAAAATATCATTGTTTTT